TGTGCAAAGCTTATTAAATAAATTAAATTCACGTTATGTGTGTATAGTAAAAATACAGTATGTTAATTATTCAACAAACACATTGGACGGTGGTATGCGAGAGATATAATAATCGATACCAATATTTTAAAGAGAATAGGTTTGTATGTTTGTTCGGGGAAATCTCCGGTTCTGCTGATCAAATGTTTTTGATGGTATAGAAGTACTCACAATCTGCTAAGTAGCCAACTGCTGTCCCGATTTCTGGATTGCTAGAATATACCGCAGCATCACTGGCAGTGACCAGCACCGCCAGGAATGTGATGATGGAGAGCATCCTCCTGTAAATTGCAGTGTACAAAATATTAAATCATTACATAGTATAAAACAAATTCGCTGTCGCTGTCTGTCCGTCCCGATGTATGCTTAAATCTTTAAAACTACACAACGGATTTTGAAGCGGTTTTTTTAATAGATATGTAGAGTGATAACTTCCTCTTGTTTTATATGCATAATACATGTACACCCGTGCGAAGCTGGACCGAGTAATTAGTATATAATAATAGAACTTCCTAAACAGTTTGAAAGTTGAATAAATATTGGATCCGTGCGAAGCCAGGGAGGAAAGCTAGTATATAATAAAGTTCAGTATCAATTTCAAGAGTGAAATTAAAATAAATTTAATAGTTACATATTTAATTTCCACGAATTGCCTGCGCTATTAATGAAAATAATTTGTACATTTATAAACAATGTCGTTAGTTATACGGAAGGCTGTAATTTTGTTTAATCTATACATATAAATAAAATTGGAGTGTCTGTTTGTAATAGCGATGTAACCGTTTTTTACTACAGGCATATGAATATAAATACGGTGCATATACCAAAATAACATTTTTTACCATTTTTGTTGTCTGTCTGTCTGTTTGTTCCGGCTAATCTCTGAAATGGATGGACCGATTTTGACGGGACTTTTTTTGGCAGGTGTCTGATGTAATAACGAGTAACTTAGGCTACTTTTATTTTAGAAAAATAAAGTTAAATTCCACGCGGACGAAGTCGCGGGAACTGCTAGTGTATCATAATATTATTGTAACATTAAAGAGAAATGTTAATTAAATAAGATCGTATTATTTATTGTCCTTCATAACTTTATTATTAACTACTTTTGAGTTAATTATAATTACCAACTAAGAATCTAAAAGAATCGACTGTCTAGCGGTTAGTCTTACTTCCGATGGTCGCGGGTTCGATTCCTCGCACGGCACAAACATTTGTATTCATGTGTATGATTGTTTGTATCAGTCTGGGTGTTTTCTATGTATAACGTATATATCAAAATCCATTTATGTATATATGTAAATTGAGTTACTACATTAAAATTAATCTTTTACAATAACGGCCTCGGTGGTCTAGTGATTTTGCACATCGCCCTACTTCCGTGGTCGCAGGTTCGAATCCTCGCACAAATATTTGTATTCATAAGTATGATTGTTTGTATCGGTCTGGGTGTTTTCTAAAAAAAATCTATGTATTTGTATTAGTTATCTATTACCCATAACACAAGCTTTAGCTAGCTTAACTAGTGTCTAGATGACGCTGTGTGAATTGTCCTGACATTATTATTACTAAACAGACGAGATCACCACTTCAAAATCATTAATCAGAGAGCAAGCGAATTATTAGTAATTTGGAATAATAACCCTTTTCTTAGGAACGTATCAAGTCAGGTGGACCTCCACGCAGATACTCTGGAAACCATTTTGATAGATCCTTGTAACGATATCCTAATGCATCGTTTACATTCAGCTGCTTCCCCTGCCACTCGCGCTGCCGGAAATATTGTCGGGCGACAACTGAGCGAGAGGGCTGAATGTAAACACACGCTGCCACTCGCGCGTCAAGGAATCCTTGACTCGCGTACGAAAAACCGACAATCGAGGGAGCGCCGGGCAGCGCGAGTGGCAGCGCCAATGGCATGAGAAGTATCATGTTTACACTCTCGCGCTGCTAACTTCCGTGCCCACTTCCCCGCCCACTCAGGCTGAGTGTAAACGTAGCTTTACTGATCTGCTCTCATGCTCATCTTATCCTGCACTGGTGACCCGCCAGCCATAACCGTTAGCGAAAGCCGGTGCACGATTCTTAATCTTCTATTAAAACTATATCTTCTTATCTTCTATTAAAACTAATTAGTCAGAAAGTTCTGTTATTCTGTGGTAGATAGTCGAGAAAAAACTTATTTCAATTAAATCTCTGTTAACGCTAAAGGTTACATAACTTTAGTTTTTAAATTTTTTGAGTTAAAATATATTAATACTTAATGTATGCACATATTGTCATGCTTAATACTAGAGATGTTAAAAACCGTAAACACCGACTACTTAGTAAAACCAGTACGTCATTAGTAACGAAGTACCGAAACACATTTAACGATTTGATTTGTTTGGCAGCTGAAATAGGTGAAACTAAGGTAAGTTTCACCTATTTCACCAGATAGACCAAAACTGTTACTATTTTATTTATAGAGTAAAAACTAAATGTGACTGATAAATAAAACTAAAACAATAAATCACTTAAAACTTGCGAGTTGTTTGTCTGACCCACAAAACATAACGTATAAATTGCAAAACAAATCAATATATTTTAATTCATGTACGTCTATTACAGACTCCTATGATAGACTTGCTGTTCCCGCGACTTCGTCCGCGTGGAATTTTACTTTATTTTTCTATAACATTTTTTTTTAAATAAAATAATATTTCTAAAATAAAAGTAGCCTAAGTTACTCCTTATTACATCAGCTACCTGCCAATAAAAGTCCCGTCAAAATCGGTTTAGCCATTTCAGAGATTAGCCGGAACAAACAGACAGACAGACAAAAATTGTAAAATAATGTTAGTTTGGTGTGTATACCGTATATATATTTATATGCATGTAGTAAAAATTTGTTATTTCAATGTTACAAATAGACACTCCAATTTCATTTATATGTATAGATATGTAATATCTACCACCAGTCGGAGTGTATTCGAGCTAAGAAAAACTAACAAGAATCTCAAGCTCCTATTGTTTCCAAACGATCTTTATTTTTTACAGAATAATATTATTGTGCAAGAAGAAACTTACTCTGTTGCTCGAAACGTAACGTAATGTGAACATAAAGTATCAATAACATTAGTAACTAGTATTTTTGGATAATCCATATTATATCGTTACTTTTGAAGCGTTAATGCATAACCCTTTCCCGATCATTCTACGTGAAATAGTTGCCATCCGCAGTACTATATTCTCATTGTAAATAGTATTTCCCATTAATCTGTACCGGTTAACAGTTTAATCGGTTTCTCGACATGCTACACGTTACTTTGGACCGATCATCTCAATATTGCTTGTTAACTTTAGGTCAAATTTAATAGCATATATATTTTAACACTCTAACATAGGGCAGAAGTAATCTTTATTCAAATAAACTTAATTTAAGCACTATTGAATAGTCATATTTTTTATTCTGCACTCAAGAAGAATGAGTAAGAAACTTACGTGTAACTCTATTGCACGAAAAATAACGTAACGTAACGTGAAGTATCAATAACTTTAGTAACTACGGATAACCGATATGTCGTTACATTTACAGCCTTACTGCATAACCCTTTATCGATCATTCTACGTGAAACAAGGTGCTACTCGCAGTACTACATTCTCATTATAGCTACTATCTCCCATTAGCCTCTACCGGTTAACCGGTTAATCACAATTAATGCTAATGTGTCGATCAGTTTCTCTACCTGCTACACGTTACTCTGGATCGAACATCTGAAAATTGCCTGTTAACTTTAGCTCAAATTTAATACCGTACTAACAGACCCGGCCACGCGTTGGTGGCTAAGGTTCTTAAATAAAATAATATTGCGACTATAAATAGAGATGTAAGCTATCCGATTTTTGTTGCTTGCTTCTTCAAGCTTCTAACATTGCTATTCCAAGTTGGATAAAATTGCACACAATGAGCAAATAAAATTTCGAAATTTAGTATACAGATAGTCTAGACCCCGAGAAAGGACTTAGACTACTTTTTGATGCGAAAAAAGGGTTGTAGGAGATCGAAAGGGGAGAAGAAAGGTTGTATAGAAATATCGTCATTTTTAAAACTTGAAACTTATTTTTAGGCTGTTGATGAAATATAAATAAATATGATATTCAAAGTTATACAAATTTTACTCTTAATAGGTGAGGGTAAAATTTATATACCTAAAATGGGGTCGCCTATTCCACGCGGACGACGTTGCGGGCACAGCTAGTCATATATAAATCTGTACATTTCTTGAAATCTGAATAATATAAATGAATGAATAAATATTATGAATGAAAAACTTTGTATGGATAGACGGACAAATAGTTTGTTACTCGTTAAGCAAGAACTGGTCAACGGATTTTGATAAAACTTTACAGTAATAATATTTCATCAAAATGAGTAATGGTTATATTTTGCGTAATACCGTCGTGCGCGAACGACAGTGATGTACTTTCAGAATAGCTATTATAATCTGTGCTTGTACCGACAGTAGTGCCCTTAAACTTAAACTTGTTGAATATATTATATTCTGTGGCTTCAATAGTAGTCTGCATGCGTTTTGTGTACGTCGCGCGCATTGTGTCAAATTCTATTCTTTTGTTTATTTTCAACGTATTCCATTTTCAAATAATAATAAAGAGTTCCATTTTTAAGTTTCAACGAATTCTATTTTGAAATGAAAATAAAGAGTTCCATTTTTAAGTTTGGAACGAATTATATTTTGAAATAAAAATAAAAGTTCCACTTTTAAGTTTTGAACGAATTCTATTTTGAAATAAAAATAAAAGTTTCATTTTTAAGTTTTGAATGAATTCTATTTTAAAATTTAAATAAAGAGTTCCATTTTTAAGTTTTAAACGTATTCTATTTTCAAATAAGAAATAGAGAAAATAGAAAGAGTTAAATTCAAATTTAAATTTCGCACTTTTATTTCTTTTATATATTTCTGTGGCTATAATTAAGACAATAAAATTTGTTTTTCAAAAAAATATTCTAGCTAAATTTACAATTAAGGAATTATTGAAACTTCATTGCGGCAATTGACTTCGGATAATTTCAAGAATGGAGTTGAGGTGAGTTTTTGAAATGTACTAATTCATACCATTTAGGTATATAAATCCAAAAGTGAGTCTGTCTGTTACTTTATCAAGATTAAACGAAATGCTTTGAGAAATGAACCGTGTTTGTACTTGAAATATCTCTTAAAAACAAACTTTAGAAGTGTCGATTTTATAAGTGTCAATGGAATAAAAACCATTTCATTTTACGGCCTCGGTGGTTCAACGCTCTACTTCATATATCGTCGCGGTCTTGGGTTCGATTCCTTGCACAGTACACCCATTTGTATTATTACCGTTCATCATCACGTGGGCCGCTAGTTTGTTTGTCATACCAATTATATAGCAAAAAATTAGTTTAAATCGATTCTGAAGCTAATAATAATAATAATAATCTCAGGACAATTTACACAGCGCCATCTAGACCCAAGTTAAGTTAGCTAAAGCTTGTGTTATGGGTTCTAGATAACTGATAGAAATACACAGGTTTTTATTTGTAAATACATACATATTATACATAGAAAATACCCAGACAGATACAAACAAACATATTCATGAATACAAATGTTGTGCCGTGCGAGGAATCGAACCCGCGACCATCGGACGTAAAGCGGTGTGCTAGACCAGTAGACCACAGAGAAACTAATGGTTATTAATTTCAATGTTCAATTTTGTTCGTAACAATTATATAAATGTGTTCAAATTAATTTAAATTATGGTAGTAATTATTTTGTAATCTATATGTTGTGTTGAGTGATCTATCAACGCACAGCCCAAACCACTGAACGGATCGGGCTGAAATTTGGCATGCAGGTAGATGTTATAACGTAGGCATCCGCTAAGAAAGAATTTTGATTAATATACAAAGAATTTGGATAAAATAGGGGATGAAAGTTTGTATGAAACTTTGTCAATTTTAAACCGATCGGGCTCAGATTTTACATGCATAAATCTACTATGACGTAGGCATCCCCTAAGAAATGATTTTGATTAATTCTACCTTCAAGAGGATAAAATAGGGGATGAAAGTTTGTATGAACTTTGTCAATTTTAAACCGATCGGGCTGAGACTTTGCATGCATAAAGCTACTATGACATAGGCATTTTCCACCCCTAAGGGGGTAAATTAACGCGAGCGAAGCCGCGGGCAAAAGCTAGTAAACATATATAAACGAATATTCAATTAAATTGCATTGCCTTGATATATCTATACAACCTTGTAATTCATAATGTTTTCATGATATGCTATATTTTGTCTTAATCAGTCAATGACCTCTGTGAACTAGGATGGCCAACCGTCCTATTTTCTCAGGACATGTCCTATTTTTTGTAATGTATTCTGATTCCTGTCCTGGACGTCCTGATTATTTCTTAAGCAGTTTTATGGGTCTTTAATCATAAAATTCGTGAGCTTCTTTAAAATTATTCAAATACTTTTGTTAAAAAAATACAATTATTTGAATTACTTGGATTTCTGTTCATCTATTTTCATTGCAATATATTAATTTAATTATTATTATTACTAAGTCCTGTTTTTATACTAATCCTGGCTTTTAAATTAGGGATTGGCAACACTTAAACTAGTTTTAGGTTGTAACTAAGTTTCTAGAGTCGATTATCTGACGGGTCTGTTTTATTTTTTTTATTTATCAGAACTAGATGGTTATTGGATGTGTTGTTTGTTATTTGATTTATGTTATACCACAAATAGGGTTCTGAACCGTTAGAAACCTTAAGACCCTAATATTATACTTTAATTTCAAATTCCAAATTGTGTTATTATAAATAACACAATTTGGAATTTGAAACAGAAATAATAATAATAATATAATATCTCAGGACAATTCACACAGCGCCATCTAGTCCCAAGCTAAGCAGAGCTTGTGTTATGGGTACTAGACAACTGATATAAATACATGGATACATTTTTTTTTTGTAAATAAATACACATTATACTTAGTAAACAGCCAGACCGATACAAACAATTATACTCATGAATACAAATGTTTGTACCGTGCGAGGAATCGAACCCACGACGATCGGATAGTAAACCGGTGTATTAAACCACTAGACTACCGAGGCTGTCAATAATATCCATAAGTGAGACGATATAGTTAGATAGATATATAAAATATACTCTATTTGTAACATACAGTAAAGAAAAGAAATAAACACATGGAAAGTTACAATAAGGCGGGCTTATTTCTGAAAGTAATATTTTCAAGAAAACGCAGAAGGACTTATGGAGCGGCTGAAGACCAACTCCCGCCTGACGGATACGACTTTAGTCTGAGGGCACCACTAGGGGTTCGAACCTCGGCTCAGGCCGTCGTAATTTCGATCCTCGTTTGAATTGGACGGGCGATCGATCGGAGAGAATAAAGATGAGAAAAGTATATATAACATAGAGATAACAACAATAAACAAGGAGAAATAAAAATAAAAAGGCCTCGCACAACCACATTGTGGAATCACCTTCCAGCAATGGTATTTCCGAATCGATACGATATTGAAACCTTCAAGAAAAGAGCTTATTCCTTTTTAAAAGGTCGACAACGTACTTGCAATTCCCCTGGTGTTGCGGGTGCTCATGGGCGGCGGTAATCACTTGCCATCAGGTGAGCCGCATGCTCGTTTGTCCCCTGTGTTATAAAAAATGAAATATTCGTGTTCAAGCCCTAATTATATGAATAACAAAATGTCAGTTAAAAATGTTTTAATTTTGTTACATTTCAGAAGGATATTGTCAATAATGACATCATTGTTGATGACAAGAGCTCATGCAGGCTTCTCCCCTCGCCCGGATGCTGGATACCCGACTGGTTATCTTGCAGATTGTAAGTACTTTACTTTTGGTAATAAATAAATAATGTAAAAGCATGTATAATTTATTTGATTAACCAGTTGTAGTCCTAATAGTTACTACTATGAGCGAGACCCTCGGTGGTGTAGTGGTTTGGCACACCGCTTTACTTCCGATGGTCGCGGGCTCGATTCCTCATTGCAAACATTTGTATTCATTAGTATGTTTTTTTGTATCGATCTGGATGTTCTCTATGCTTATTATGTAGATATTTACAAAAAATGTATCTAAGTGTTATATTAATTGTCTGGACCAAACATAAGTTTAGCTTAGCTTGTTACTAGATGGCACTGTGTGAATTGACGAGGGATATTATAATATACTGTAGTATAAAATTATATAAACGCGAAAGTTTGTGAGTTAGGATGCATGTTTGTTACTCACACGCAAAAACTACTGAACGGATTTTAATGAAGCATTACAGTAATATAACTAAATATACATCAGAATAACACATAGGTTATATTTTTTATTGAAATTTATGTATTGAATTTTAACGCGGGTTAAATCGCGGGCACAGCTAGTATATACATATATTATATAGTAAGTTTATGTCTAGTAAGGCTCATAGATAGTAAGGTTAAGATCATTACAGATTTACGTATTTTTCATTCAAAAACATAACCTATAACGTCCTTACATGTAAATAATTTACTAGTTCATTGTCGACCCGCTTGTACATTTAAATAGATATAACTTTACATTATAATCCATTGTTATAACGCAAAGTGTTGACAATTTAAAAAGTAATATCTTACAATACTGTAAAATAGCATGACAACAAAGTTTGTTGTTGATGGCAGCTTGTCTACCATTTTTTTTATAAATTTCAGGTTAATGACGACCTCAGTGGTCTAACGGTCTACGGACTCACGGTCCGCTTTGCGTCCGATGGCGACCATCGGAGGTAAAGCTGTGTGCTAGAGCGTATATATAATAAAATAATAAATACTATATAATATAATAATTGTAACGGATCGGTGGACTGTATGGGTGTCTAAATGATAAAAACACGTAGTTTATAATAATATAATATATTAATATGCAGTTGCGAAACTACCAAAAGACAATGAGTGAATAATACAATAAAGTGAAGTATATCAAATAACATGATATATAAAAAAAAATAACTCTTCAAAAAATATAAATTTAAAAACAATATAAATATCAAAAGAGTTCCGCGGTCGGTCGCCAACAATAATTGTAATAAACGTGTAGATTTCTTAAGAGGGCTTAGCGAGGAAGTAAAAAAGCGTCGTAAAAATCGGATATCTAAATATATATAACTCAAAGGTGACTGACATAGTCATCTATCAACGCACAGCCCAAACCACTGGTCGGATCAAGCTGAAATTAAGTATGCAGGTAGATGTTATGACGTAACCCATCCGCTAAGAAAGGATTTTGATAAAAACCACCCCTAAGGGGATAAATTAACGCGAGCGGAGCCGCGGGCAAAAGCTAGTCAAAATATAAAATTTATAAAAAGAATGAAGAACAAGCCAGCCAGCAACATTTGTATTCATACAAGCACGTGTAATTCAAATTTGAATGTCATCCTTGAATGGTCGTAGTAAAATTCAAATTAGCATTTGAACATTTCCGTATTATGAATTGTAAAATTTATTACACAAGAGTTATGTAAGTGCGAATTTGCTGCCTTTACAGGTCACGTTCTTTCCCCTTATGTGTAATATGTAATTTGTATTTATTTAATTATAATAATAATCTCAGGACAATTCACACAGCGCCATCTAGACCCAGGTTAAGCTAGCTAAAGCTTATGTTATGGGTACTAGACAACTGATACAAATATATAGATATTTTTTTGTAAATACTTATTAGACATAGAAAACACCCAGATTGATATACCCACACCCAAATAATCATACTCATGAATACAAATGTTTGTACTGTGCGAGGAATTGAACCCGCGACCATCGGAAGTAAGGCGGTGTGCTAACCGCTAGACCACCGAAGACGTCAATTTTTTTTATCATATATTCAAATAAACTTACATTGAAGCATTTCTGAATAGTCATCACATTTTTTTAATCTACCGCTCATTCGGAAAGCTCATTACAAGAAGAACGAGAAAGAAACTTGCGTATTGCTCTTTTAAACAAGTTTCTTTCTCGTAAGAATAATATTATTTAAAAGAGCAACACGCAAGTTTCTTTCTCGTTCTTAAAAACTGCAAATTAACGTTAAAAAAATTGACTTAGTAATTAAATACTCAAATAGAAAAAATATTAAATATACAACCAACTGGTTAAACAACTAAATAAGAGGAAATCATCGTAGTGATTAGAATGCTCAATAACTCTATAATTGTCTTTGCTTCATAGTCAGATATCCGCCATTTTGAATTGATACTTAAATAATAAGTATCAATTCAAAATGGCGAGCACTCGGCGGTCTAGGTGTTTCTCGTTCTCTTTTGCTACATTTACATGCACATTATTCCCTGCGTGAAAGACGATTTACCTGTGAATGAACTTGTAAATGCAGATGTTGATAGGAAAGAACAGAGTATATATGGCACTTTTTTACCCCTCTGATCGATTCCGCGTCCAATTCAAATGGGGATCGAAATTACGTCGCCTGAGCCGAGGAGTAATGAACCTCTAGCGGTGCCTTCAGACTAAAGTCGTATCCGTCAGGCGGTTGGTCTTCAGCCGCTCCATAAGTCGTTGTATCGTCCGGTGAAGCTGTAAAGGCCAGCTGCGGCCAACAGCATTAGAGTAGAGAGAGTAGTACTAAAAAAAAGTGAAAACTGATTCACGCGTGAATGAACATGTAAATGCAGATGTTGATAGGAAAGAACTGGGTATATGTAGCACTTTTATGTCTACTCCGATAGATATCCTGTACAATTCAAACGGGGATCGAAATTACGACGGCCTGAGCGAGGTTCGAATCTTAGCGGTGTCCGCAGACTAAAGTCGTATCCGTCAGGCGGGTGGCCTTCAGCCACTCCATAAGTCCTTCCACGTGTTTGCAGTGCCATCTGCACCCGCTCCCTATCGTCCGGTTAAGCTGTAAAAGCCAGCTGCGGTAGACAGCATTAGAGTAATCGGAAAAAAAAATTTTTTTCGTATCGTAAACCGTTTACGCTGCGAAGCACTCAATAAGAATGAATGAATGAATGAATGAATGAAACTCTTTATTGTTCCTCTCACAGAAAATACAATTACATATACAATTATGTACAAAATGATAAAAAAAAAAAATTAAATACAATAAACAAGACAAAGAGGTAACAATGGGCGGCCTTATCGCTAAAAAGCGATCTCTTCCAGGCAACCATAAAGAATTGGGAGTAGTCAAAAAAAAATTTGAAGGGTAAATATCATAGTTGAATGGCACCCCAAATATCACGTCATCATGTGACTCGTGATGGTTTGATTAACGTAACACGTAGAGTCTCCCGTCACATAACGCCCACAGCCAGCTGCTGGGAAGCAGCCGGCCGGTAAAGGAACGCTGGGGTGGCACACCCCAGCAGTACGCCCGGGCAAAGAGCTCGAGGCACATACCCAGCGGCCCGTAAAGACCAGCGGATGACCTGGTCAAGACAACGCAAGTTTGACGTTCATAAGCGGCTAAAATGACCTACATGAATAAATGATTAGTGATCTTTAAAAACCTAATATGTAAGGGGTTGAGATCAGGATGTGAACATCAAAAACTGTGTTAAAAAATAATGTAACTGAAACTTTTCATTATTATTAATTAATCTTATTAAGACTTTATTAACTGTTCTATAAAAGTTAAACACAACAGATTAAAAATAAATATAGCACTATATCGTTGGTAAGCCATTTAATCATCATCACTTGATCATCATATGACGACCTCGGTGGTCTAGCGGTCTAGCAGACGCTTTACGTCCGATGGTCGCGAGTTCGATTCCTCGCACGGCACAAACATTTGTATTCATGAGTATGATTGTTTGTATCGGTCTGGGTGTTTTCTATGTATAATATGTATGTATTTACGAAAACAAACATTATCTATACATTTGTATCTAGTACCCGCAACACAAGCTTTAGCTAGCTTAACTTGGGACTAGATGGCGCTGTGTGAATTGTCCTGAGATTATTATTATTATTATTATTACTCACTACATAGTATAAAATAAAGTCGCTGTAGCTGTCTGTCTGTCCCTATGTATGCTTAAATATTTAAAACTACGCAACGGATTTTGAGACGGTTTTTTTAATCGATAGAGTGATTCAAGAGGAAGGTTTATATATATAATACATGTACACCCGTGCGAAGCCGGGGCGACTAGCTAGTAATCTATAAACAAGATAATATAGTAACTCTCTAAGATAATTGAGTTTTCGATTTAACGTTTCCCACTGGCCACCTATTATCTGGATTTCAGCATCCGAAATGGACTATCTCGGTATCGGTAAATCTCCGTTGAACAGACGCTAAGCCCGGCTGAGTTACGGCCATGGGATGCTGTGTCAGCATATTTTTAAAAAGATCTTTAGTGTGCTTAGAATTAAATGTTGCGATAAAAAACACAATGTTTATTTCAGTCACTGAAACGGTAAACAAGCATTCAGTGATAAATGACTTTGGAAAAAAGTGTAATAATTTTCTAATCATCCTTCATCATCATTACATAGTATAAAACACAGTCGCTGTCGCTGTCTGTCCGTCTCTATGTATGCTTAAATCTTTAAAACTACGTAACGGATTTTGATGCGGTTTTTTTATAGATAGAGTGATTCAAGAGGAAGGTTTATATATAACTAGCAGTACACGCATCTTCGTCCGCGTGGAATTTAACTTTACTTTTATCTAAAAGAAAACAATTTTTTAAAAATAAAATTCGCCTAACTTACTCCTTATTGCATCAGCTACCTGCCAATAAAAGTCTCGTCAAAATCGGTCCAGCTATTTCAGAGATTTCAGACAAAAATTGTAAAAAATGTTATTTTGGTGTATGCACCGTATTTATATTCATATGCATGTAATAAAAAACTGTTATTTCAATATTACAAACAGACGCTCCAATTTATTTATATGTATATGTAGATTTAACAAAATTGCAGCCTTCAGTAGAACTAACGACATCGTTTACAACAAACATACAGACAGATAGATGGACAAAAATTGTAAAAAATGTTATTTTGGTATATGTATCTTATTTATATTCATATATGTATGTAGTAAAAAACGGTTATTTCAATATTACAAACAGACACTCCAATTTATTTATATGTATAGATAATACATGTACACCTGAACGAAGCCGGGGCGAGCGACTAGTACTTCATATTGTAAATGCCAAAATAACTGTGGATTAGTCTGGATTATTGAATTACCGGAAATGAGTTAAGTTTATTTGGTAGAAACAAAATAAAATAGGGCTAAGTTTTTAGCCATGATTCAAAAGTAATCCTTACTAATATTTTAAATGTGACCTGTCTGTCTGTCTGGCTAGACAGACAGACAGGGTTACTGTCTGTCTGTCTGTCTGGCTGTCTGTCTGTCGCACTTTACACACGCCAAAACAACTGAACCCATTTAAATGAAATTTGGTACACAGATTGCCTAGACCCTGAGAAAGGACATAGGCTATTTTTTAATTCGAAAAAAGGGTTGTAAGGGGTTGAAAGGGAAGATAAAAGGTTGTATGGAAGTATCGTCATTTTTAAAGCTAAAAGCTTGAAACTTATTTCATGGGCTGTTGATTATAAATAAATATGATAATCAAAGTTTGTAAAAATTTACTCGTAAAGTAAAATAGGGAATGAAAGTTTGTATGGAAATTCGTCATCATTCGAAGTCACGGGCACAGCTAGTATATTATAATCTAGACAAGTAATAGGCGAGGACAGGACCCTGACCCGAATGTAATAATGTATTTTACAGCCGCCACTGAAGGTTGAAAATGTAAAAAATAACATGTTACATTAACATAAAAATATGTTATATTTATATATAAAAAATATATGTTTCTTTATTTTTCGCTAAAAAAATCGTATACACTATTATTGGAGATAAGTTACGCAGACCAAGGTTAGTTTTTAGCTAGGTAGACTTTGTGAAAACTCTTCTGTTACTGTCGATTGTGTTAAGGCTGTATTTAGTTTGCCTTGGAGTAAATGGAATTTTGCTTTGAATAGAATAGAGAATAATTTATTCAAATAAACTTAATTTAAGCACTTTATAATATTCAACAATTTTTTTTTAAATCTACCGCTTATTCGGAAAGCTTTCTCATCACAAGAAGAATAAGCAAGAAACTTGTGTGTTGCTCTTTTAAACAATCCTTGTAAGTTCACATTTTACAAGTCGAAACGTGTGAATACAAACTACCAACCTATTAATCTATTTAGGCTCAAATATAAAAACACAATAAGATTAAATCAGTCGTAGTGATAAGAAATGTGATAAGAAGTAAATTTAAATAACATGACGTTGCATAGCGGAATTAAATAAATATATATATATATAAATCCATTACGTAATGAAATAGACATCTGCAAAAAAACAGCTAATTCGATATAACAAGAAAATGACTTCAAACATAAGGTAAAAATATACGTATTATAAAATATTTTTTTATTTTTACCTTCTCTATCCATCCAAAGGTCTGGAAGAGATTGTTTAGCGATAAGACCGCCTTTTGTATCAGTTTTTTTTTATACCACATAGGTCCCAATCATACGGCCTATCTGATAGTAAACGGTTACTGTAGCTTATGAAACACCAGGGTGTCACATGCGCGTTGCCGACCCTTAAGAAACCTTAATATACCCTTCCTGAAAAACCCTGCTGTAGTCTCATGAGAAAAAAAATGCATATTTAATATTTTAATTACTTTCTGTATTTGCTGCAATAAAGAGTATAAATGAGTACAACATCCTGCAGGTCCGGGGTCTTTCAAAAATGTCAGCATCAGTCCAGCATCACTGCAGCGCTTACAGATCGTGTGGCACCAGTGGACCCCTGAAACTGGAGTCGACAGACGTTTTATGCCAATCAGCATTGCTGCTAAGAGAGTTGGAGTGACTTACTATCCAGGTATGTAGGTTCTTTTAGTTTACAATTTCTCAACTAATATTATAAATAGGAAATATTTTATTTTTTGTTTGTATTCGATGAACTCAAGAATACTAAGTAAATTTTTACTATTTTTTAATTAATTATAATTTTAAACAAGCTTACTGTCCATCAGGTGGTAAGTGGTAACTGTCGCTTAAACAGTCGGAAAGTGAATTGAAGTTATGGGATGCTAGCTGTGCCCACGTGAAATTTATAGCCTATATGTTACTCTGATGCATAAACTATATAACTGTAAAGTTACATCAAAATCCGTTCAGTGTAACAAAAATCCATATTCTCAAACTTTCGCGTTTCTAATGTTAACTAGCTACTCGCCCCGTCTTCGTCCGGGTGTACACGTATTATATATATATATATATATATATATAAACCTTCCTCTTGAATCACTCTATCTATTAAAAAAAACGCTTCAAAATCCGTTGCGTAGTTTTAAAGATTTAAGCATATATAGGGCCGGACAGACAGCGACAGCGACTTTGTTTTATAGCATGTAGTGATAATATTAACATCTGTGCATTATGTTTAAATAAATAAAGATTCTTTCAACTTTCAGATTTCAAAAACAAGAAGACAGTTGTATATGTCCTCGGGTTTCTAGATAGTTCCCTCTTCATTCACAACGTGGCAGTAGCGTCAGCCTATGCCAAACAAGGATACAACGTTTTTGTAACTGAAACATCCACATTGCTCTGGTATATTTATCCCAGGTGAGAATTCAAGGCAAAAATATGATCTATCTGTGTAACTTAACTTAGTTTATAGCCGACTGTATATTGTCAGCCTAAAACGTGTTGCATAGGGGGGAAGGTAATTGGTAGTAATGTGGATTCATGACCTCATTACTAGCAATGTACCATGTCAGGTTGACCTCCACGCGGTTCCCCCTGGAAACCATCGTGATGAATTCCTGGTGAATTTGTTACGATGGGCTAACTGACCTGACCTCATGTTCATCCTAACATCCTCCACTGGTGCCCCGCCAGCGTAAACCGATAGAGCAGGCGGGTGCACCAGTCCATAATCACCCATAAAAAAAACGCGTTGTATAGAGGGTAAACGGGATTGCTGTGAACTAATAATCCTATTGCTAGCAATGACCACTGACAACCACTACACTACCGAGGCCGTAAATACATGGGAATAGACAAATTGCCTGTTTCATTTACAAAATCGTTAGAAATTTTTTAATTTCAATATTAGGTACATGGTCATATTAAAATTAATTGGAGTGTCTGTTTGTAATACTGAAATAACCATTTTTTTCTACATGCATATGAATATAAATATGTTATATAGACCAAAATAACATTTTTTAAAATTTTTGTCTGTCTGTCTGTCTATCGGTTTGTTTCGTCAAATCTCTGAGCGGTCTTTAAGAGGTAGCTGATGTAATAAGTTACTCCTTATTACTTCAGCTACCTCTACCTAATAGTAACTTAATATAATAATAAAACTCTTTATTGTGCATAAAAGAAACAAATAATTACAAAAAGAAAATAAAAAAAGAAGGATATGCAAACAAAAGGCGGCCTTATCGCTTAAAGCAATCTCTTACAGACAAACATAAGGTAAGGTAAGGTAACTTAGGCTACTTTTTTTCTAGAAAAAATTTTTCTCCACGCGGACGAAAAAATCTCTAATTAAAGTGGCCTCGGACAGTGCAGTTTCAGATTAGCCTTCCGGAAAAAAATTGTGGAATGAACTACCTGCTGAGGTTTTCTCAGGAGACTACAGCATGGGGCTTTCAAGAAGGGTGGATTAAGGTTTCTTAAGGGTTGCCAACGCGCATGTAACACCCCTGGTGATTATGCGCTGATTGCGCTAAAATAATCAGTACAAAGAAAACCAGAACAGCTGATCATCCGGAACATACGCTAAAAAAAAAAAAAAAAAAGAAAAAAAGAAGGAGAAGGAAAAAAAAAAAAAAAAAAGAAAAAAAAGGGGAAAGGAAAAAAAAAAGAAAAAAAAAAAAAAAAAAAAAAAAACCTACGACAAAAAGTGAACTGTGTGGACTATAACAAATAGTGAACGGACATATAAGTATATGCTGTTTCATAATGTGTATTGTTATATTATGAATTCTTACTTCAATGTAATGAAAAAAATTGTGGATTTATATAATTGTAACATATTGATAAATCTAATCTTCCAAATAAAGATGGGTGACTGCATGTTTCTCACGAGCGGTGGACTACAGACATGGGGCTGTTCAAATTGTAACAAGGGAAATAAAATAAATATAATAATATTAAAGTAAATTAAAAAAGGCACGGACGAATATGTCTGTGGAAAAATGTATTTAAATATAAAAAAAAAAAAAAAAAAAAAAAAAAAAAAAAACACCCCTGGTATCTCAGGCGTCAATAGGCTACGGTAACTATTTACCATCATTGGCCGTATGCTACTTTGGCCGTAGTAGTATAAAAAAACATTGCACTATTTTACATTACCGTTTTCCATATTGCATCGTCTATAAGGAAATAGATTTTATGTGTTAGTTTATTAGCATTTATAATAAATGGTGATGCATTTTGTTTACATTGTTAAGAATGCGGTGTTTATTATCTGTTTGAATATTTATTAATATCTTGATCCTTATCATGAGGGTCAAGAGCTAGTGGTTCAATATCTGCAGTCGTAAATTTCAAGTCGTGACTTCCACACAGGTTGATCAATAAAATAATATGTAAACATAGGTTATTAGAACGATACTTTGTATAAAATTGTAAACATGAGATTTTCTCTCTTATTGATCAATAAAATAATAGAATCATTAATTAGAACAAAACTTTGTACAAAGTTATTAGTTGTAGGTTTTTCTATTTCGTCAATAAATCAATCCACGAGCAGCACGTTTTGTTTTTAAGTTTGAAGTTCATTCGCATTGTTAACAGTTTTGTTTCATATAGATATGTTGCTGATTCTTGTAGTTATAGGAATACGAGTATGTTTGAAAATTATTAGTTTGAATATTTGGTGTGTTCTTCTCGAATAAGTTCGATATAGTTTTGATAAAAATAATGATGCAGTATAATTAGATCATCTCATCATCATCTACCATTTGATGTTTACATTTTACTAAACGTCTTTAAATCTATTTTTTTTTATTTATTTAAACTTTATTGCATTGTATAATAGGCAAGCTTAATGCTATTAGCATTCTCTGAGCAGAGATACTCGAAGGCGGTTTAGTAAATTAAATAAAAATGTATTAAATAGATATACATATTATAAATAATGAAATATAACATACATACACATAATATATATTATAAACAAACTATATATATAAATAAGATGACGATGAGCCTTATTACAGCACTATGAGATACGATTTAAAAGATATTCATTAACTCTTAAAACTATATTTAGAAGGAAGTCTGCGGAGGTCTTCTGGCAGTGAGTTCCAGAGACGTGAGGCTTGTAAAAGAAAAGAGTCGGTCATGAAACTCCTTTTATGGAGTGGCGTAGTCAGAACGAGGGAATTTTTAGAGCGCAGGTTACGGTCATGGGCATCCCTGAGGTACTGAAATTTACATTTCAAGTATTCAGGGGAAGATGGATCGAAGAGATCGACATATCATTAAATATTGTCAATTTTTTTCCCAAATCTTCAGCAACAAAACTATATATTCATAGTTTGTACGCTTTTTATTTATAATTATTTTGTCTTTATTTATTTTGTAAAGTTCTGTATGCCAGATTTTGGAGTATCAAGATTGTACTATGTAAAAATATAATTTCACTTATCGTGTTTGCCTTCATCTTCATTAATTATAGCAGAAATAATTAAATTACTTTTGTTTTCTACTTACAGATCAGTGCGACTAAGCCTTGGAATCGGGAAAAAGCTTGGTGAATTCCTCGTCAAACTATCTGAACTAGGTCTGAAAGCTAGTGACTTGGAACTCGTCGGATTCAGCTTAGGCTGCCACATCGCCAGCAACGCTGCCAAATACTATTACACTGTTACAGGCAAAAAACCTTCCAGAATTACAGCATTGGATCCATCTGGTCCCTGCTTTAGAGGCGTAACATCAAAGTATAGACTAGATTCTTCAGACGCTGATAAGGTTGATGCACTACACACTAATATAGACGGATTTGGTATAGCAGATAGACTGGGACATGTAGATATTTATGTCAATGGCGGAGAATACCAACCAGGTGATATACCTTTCTTTCCATGCTTAACGTTTTGCAGCCACCTGAAGTCTACACTGTATTGGTGGCAAGTTATAGAGAATCCGTCTAAATTTATTGCAGTCCAATGTGATTCTATTCAAGATGCTAGAGTAGCTAAATGTTACAACAACACTGTAACCAATTACGTTGGCATGAAAACAGATTTCAATAAACCCGGTATTTACTATCTATCTACAAGTAATGAGTTTCCCTATTACAGAGGGAAAGATGGTTTGAAAGTTGAGAATGAGATATATAATTCTGCTTTGACAGAAATAAATTCTGATGATAATTTTGTTGTGAAAAAGTAAGATTTTATTGAAGAGAATCGAAAGACAGACAGAGAAGAGAAATTATACCAAATCGGTGCTGTTGGGAAATGAGACTGAGTTGTAAGTCTAAGGGATATAAAATCCTTGCTAGAGGATGTTCTATTGCTTTACATCTATAAAAGGTTTTATACCAAAGTATGGTAGGAATTGTTGAGCAATCTGTGATATGGAATAGCAAACAAGCTGTAGGTCCGCTTGACGAAAGCAGACATCATTTAAGATAGAAATGAACTGTGGATAATAAAGATTATTCACCAATATTACCGCTTTTTAAATTGCCATTTCTGAGAATTAAGGTGTTATATATACCCAGTAATATTTTGTAGTAATAATACTCATAATTCAACCTTCTAATTGGAACACAATATGCACAACCAGTAAGTTTAGAGTCAGAATAATGCAGTGAAGGTAAGATATCAGTCAGCAGAAGATGATACAAATGCTGAGCGGAGACCTATTTGGTACTATGAAATTAATATAAACCTATATAATGTAATTAATTTTTTTTTATATTTGTTATATACCAAATAAACTATTTTCTTTCTTTATGATACATCATTATTGTATGAATCAGTTACACCATTCTATTACTTGTATTTTAAATGTATACTAAGAATAAAGACCAAAGAAATATTTCGTTTTTTTTATTTGTTTTCTGTTCTTGAAATTTAAATTCTAAGATATATATTAGAATGCTCATATACCTGTGGATAGTCGTTAGGTTTTCTTATGTTATCTGTGGTAAAACTATATATTATGCATGTATATATATTTAGTGTATTTATTGCATTAAAAAGTAGGTAAATTCTATTAATGTATGAACGTATTTATGTGTATTTTTTTTATTATAATTCAATTATAATTATTTTAGCAGCATTCAAATATCTCTGCACATTCCGAAGGTTGACTGGGAGAGAATACTATAGTATTAAGTCCATCTTTAAGATTAAAAAGACGACCTCGGTGGTCTAGCGGTCTGGCACACCGCTTTATGTGCGATGGTCGCAGGTTCGATTCCTCGCACGGCACAAACATTTGTATTCATGAGTATAATTGTTTGTATCATAAGCTAAAATGTATTATATGAATACATGATTTTTGAATTTAAATTTTATTTTGAATTCCATATTATGTTGTTTTTTTTTATGTACGATAATGGAATGGTACACCCATTGCGCTAACGGTTTACGCTGGCGGGGCACCAGTGGAGGATGATAAGATGAGCATGAGATCAGGTCAGTTAGCCCATCGTAAATTCACCAAGAATTTATCACGGTGATATCCAGGGGGAACAGCGTGTAAATCAACCTAATATAGTACATTGCTAGCAATAAGATCATCAGTCCACATTACTAACAATCTTTCCCCACATGTTATGGGCATAAATATGTTTGTTGCACAATATAATTAATTACTCTTTCAGTCGGATTCAGACGAAAACATAAAATAAGTGCGTGCTCTCAGTTTTGCGAAAATAAGTCGGTGTTTTAGTTCCATCCTTTTTAATCCTTCTGTAATAATAATCTCAGGACAATTCACACAGCGCCATCTAGACCCAAGTTAAGCTAGCTAAAGCTTGTGTTATGGGTACTAGATAACTGATAGAAATACATCGATTTTTTTTTGTAAATACATACATACTATACATGGAAAATATCCAGACCGATACAAACATCATACTCATGAATACAAATGTTTGTGCCGTGCGAGGAATCGAACCCGCGCCCATCGATCGTAAAGCGGTGTGCTAAACTGCTATACCAATCCGAGGCTGTCACCTAACATAACATAACTGGTAGCTTATACAACCTTCGAGCTTCAAATATAAAATAAAATAAAATTTCCTTTTTAATAAAGGCTTACCTAAATAAATACGCATAAAATTAATCGTTTACATTTCTATAGTCAATTGTTAGGTGTTTTGTTATTGTTTTACAGAAACACGTCAAAAGTTATACACGAGTTAATAATCATTTTCAATTAAGAGAGTTTTTGGTATATTACTGTTTACATATCATATTGTATTGGAATGGTCCAATACAATACAATATCTAACAAAACTGTCCAATAATTTGTAGCTATGACAAGGTCGAATGGAATGAGTAGTCATGCTCACTAAAATGTCTAGACATGTGGCGGCGTGGTGGGCCGGGTTTCCCTAAAATATGGTCGAGTGGAGTGATGGCTGGCTCATCAGTCATACTCGTGACCGAGTGCTGCTTGTAGGGACTGGTCTTATCACTACGACTGATTTAATCATATTGTGTTATATATTTGAGCCTAAAAAATTAGTGCTGGTTGGTAGTTTGTATTTACACGTTTCGACTTGTAAAATGTGAATTTACAAGGAGTGTTTAAAAGAGCAACACACAAGTTTCTTGCTTATTCTTCATGTGATGAGACAGCTGTCCGAATAAACGGTAGATTTAAAAAAAAATTGACTATTCAAAAGTGCTTAAATTAAGTTTATTTGAATAAATTATTTTCTATTCTATTCTATTCTGTATTAATAGTGGATATCTTCTTGGAAAACATTCTATATTCTAGACCAAGCCCAAAACTCATCTTATTAATATTATAAACACGAAAATTTGAATCTGTAGATTGATGGGTGTTTGTTACTCTTTCACGCAAAAACTACTTAATTGATTTTTAATGAAACTTTACAATAATCAGAACTCATACATCAAAATAACGCATAGGCTATAATTTAAATAGATTGTATGTAAATTTGCCGAAATATAGTTATAAATGTCAAGTAAGTGTGATACAGAAGAAAATGTGCAGGTCATAAAAATGATGACAAAATGAATATAGGTCCTAACTCGAATCGTTTACCACAAAATCCATTGAGCAAAGAAACAATGTATTCCTAATTGAAAATGTTATGTATCTAATGCCTTGTCAATTTGCGATATTAAAAAAAGCGCTTGTTTTAAAAAAAAGAATTTTATTATAACTGACGAGGGATGATGTAATCCTCAAAAAGAAAAAAAAAACGCCCATAATATTTTAATGTAATACGAAAATGGAACAAAGTAACCGATTAAATAAAAACCAATTTCGGCGTTCTATATTTAAACGTAGGGTGTTCTAAATTCAAAATGTAATGTAATGATAGTTTGCCAATGCGATCTTAAAAGATGGCGTTTGTTTTAAAAATAATAATTATATTATAAGACACGAGATCTGATGTAGTCCCCAAAAAGAAAAAAAATGCCTATAATATTTTAAAGTAGATACGAAAATGGAACAAAGGAAACGCTCGCATAAAAACCAATTTCTGCGTTCTATATTCAAATGTACTGTATTCCTGATTCAAAATGTTATGTAACTAATAGTTTGCCAGTATGCGATCTTACAAGAAGGCGCTTGATTTAAAAAAAGAATTTTATTATAATTTTTTCTTCTTTTGTAATGGAGAATTTTATTATTAGTGACGAGACCTGATGCAGTTCTCGTAATGAAAAAAAAAACGCCCATAATATTTTAATGTAGATACGAAAATGGAACAAAGGAAACGCTCGCATAAAAACCAATTTCTGCGTTCTATTTTCAAACGTTCGTAATTTAAAATGTCCACCACGACATTTGGCAATCAAAGGTACGGCGTCTCCACGTCTTTAGGGAAATGAAATGGTGAGATATAGAAACGGCGAGTTATTTAATCTGCAGAACACAATATTTTTGACTCTTTTGTGCCAAAGCTTTCCATTTGCGAGTAATCCGCGAGAGGAGCCGTCCCTGAATGGCGCTCGTTCAAATTAAAACAGTTCCCTTAATGAATTCAGAATGTTTTCACTCGATATAATGTTACCAGCACGTGGGAATCTCATGGTCCCCAACGCCGAGTCGACAAATTACCTTTTTTTTATAAAAATACGTGTAGTTATAAATGAAATGGGATTGAATTTTTTGAAATTGAGTTCATAGAATAGAATAGAATAGAATAGAAAATCATTTATTCAAATAAACTAAATTTAAGCACTTTTGATTAGTCATAACAATTTTTTTTTATCTCCGCTCGTTCGGAAAGCTGTCTCATCACAAGAAGAACGAACAAGAAACTTGTGTGTTGCTCTTTTAAATAATCCTTGTATGTTTACATTTACAAGTCGAAACGTGTGAATACAAACTACCAATCAGCACTAATTTTTTGGGTCAAATATAAATATACAATGAGATTGAATCAGTTGTAGTAATAAGAGCAGACCACTCATGCATAAACGAAATATCTCCTTTGGAAAGTTTACACTCTTTCCCGAGGAGATAAAAACGATCTAAAGCGAACCTAAGAATATCCTTCAATTCTTGTCCCTGACGGGTCTAGGTAGCGAACTCTGAAAAGGGCGAGCACAATAGATCTATGTAGGTCGCAGTGCTACAGGTGCTACACATCTGACAATAGCCCAAACAACCCAATAAAAAAAGAAAAAGAGCAGACCAGTCCCTAGAAGCAGCACCCGTTCACGAGTATGACGGATGAGCCAGTCATCACTGCGCTCGACCATATTTTAGGGAGGTCAATGACCCGGCCCACTACGCCGTCACAAGTCTGGACATTTTAGTGAGCATGACTACTCATTCCACTCGACCACGTCACAGATATTCCTAGATCACATAGCGTCATCTAGTCTCACACTCAACAGAACTGGTATTATGGGTACTAGACAACTGATATAAATACTGAAATACTTTCTTTTCGTAACATACATATTATAAATAGAAAACACCCAAACAATCATACTCATGAATACAAATATTTGCACCGTGCAAAGAATCGAACTAGCGACCTGGCGCTGTGTCAATTTTACTGGTGCAATATGATGTGATGAGGCGTTGCAACATAATATATTGTTTATTATAGTATATAGGTAGTGAGTATACACGTGAAATGATTGTACTCTTTATTATACATTAATAAGTTTATTTGTTATTGTGCTACATGGCTTATTAGTAACGCGTACATTCGATGCGGAATAATAACGTGGACTGACTTTACACTGAACTTAAATCTATGTTATTTGGAAAGTTAATAATGGAAAGGTCTCGAGTTTTGACAGAAATATTACAAGTTTAATCACACTGGTATATTATTATTATTCTTTTTTTATCTAAGAAAGTAATAGCTTTAATTTCTTTTAATTTTAATTTCTTTAAATTCTTTCTTTTAAAGCCAGAATAAAGCTTATGTAACATTGAAAATAATATAATAATAATAATCTCAGGACAATTCACACAGCGCCATCTAGTCCCAAATAAAGCTAGCTAAAGCTTGTGTTATGGGTACTAGATAACTTATACGAATATATAGATATTTTTTTTTCGTAAATACACACATTATAAATAAAAAACACCCAGATCGATACGAACATACTCATGAGTACAAATATTTGCACCGTGCGAGGAATCGCACCCGCTACCATCGGAGGTAAAGCGGTGTGCTAAACCACTAGACCACCGAGGCCGTCGAATAGGAATGAGTTTTTATTTTATATTTTACCTTTACGACTATAAAGCACATTTTCTGTTGATAAAGATATACTTATAAAATAGTACGATGGTTATTACTTC